ACTTCTCAAGCACAGGTCTTTCTTTGCTCTGGTTCTTCCTTTTAACTGTCAAACATCTCGAAACTAGTCTGCTCCCCGCTCCCTCATCTCTCATTCACTCTCCATTTGAGCAGGTTTGTCTCTGACCCTCCTCTGGCTGGCAGCTGCCCCACGGAGGTCTCAAACATCTTCCTTGTTGGTAAAACCCAAATGTTCCAACTATTTTCTAGCCTGGGCGTCCAGCCGCTCCTTCCTGAGAGCTGGCTCTTACAGTGGCTTCCTGGGGCCGCACGCTCCTAATTCCCCCCCCTACATCTCTGCTGCTTAATCCTCAAGATTATCTTCTGCTGCTGCTCTAGGAGCCTCCCAAGGCCCTTCTCTCTCCTCACTTTATACACCGTTCTTAGGTAATTTCATTTCTTGTCACGTAGCGCACCTGAGAGGCCCCATGCCCTTGTCTTCAATTCAACCTCTTCCTTTTACCCCATGCAAATCACAGGCCACAGACTCTGATATGAAAGTTTCCAAACTTGAAATTTTGCTCACTTGAAAACATTTGTAACTCTAAAGCTTTTGTCTGCTTTTCTGTAGTGACATTTCTCCTCTGAGGTAATAATTGCCGCTGAATCAAAGGGAGAGAAGGCAAGTGTTATAAAGAATGTGAGTCCACAGCCATAAAAAGTGATGAAATACTGCCATTTGCAACAACATGGATCTTGAGACTATCATACTAAGTGAAATAAGTCAGATGGAAAATGATAAAAACCATATGATTTTACTTATATGTGGGATATTAAACAAAACACAACGCAACAAATGAACAAACAAAACAAACCAACTCTTAGACACAGACAACAGTATTTTGGATACCAGAGGGGAAGGGAGTGGAGGGAGGATGAAGAGGATAAAGGCGGTAAAATTGTGGTGATGAGAGGAGACTAGACTTTAGGTGGTGAGCACACAATGGGATGTGCAGACGATGTATTGTAAAGCTGTAGACCTGAAACTTATATAATGTTATTAACCAATGTTAATAACCTCAACAAAAAAATTTAAACAAAAAAAATGAAGTGAGAGTGTGAATATATGTGTGCCTGTGTGTGGAGGGTGGCTGATGGTGGTGGAGATCCTGGCAATATTTACAATGGACACTGTGGTTGGTTCCTAACATCATTTCCATACCAGACAATTAGCCCAACCAATTGGTGCCTTTCCCCTGGCAACTTTATTGCTCTAGGAGTGGACACACCAACAACCTTAGCCAGACAGACTAAGGGAAAGGACTCATAAGTCATACCTGGGAGGTCTGAGTTACAAGGTTATAAGGCTTTTTCTCTTTCCTCCACTGGCTATGAAGAGAGAAGCCTCACTCAGCAGCTTCTAGCAGCCACTTGGGACCCGAGGAGAACCATCTCGAGGATAGAGCTCCCTCTAAAGCTGAGCAGAACCTTGGATAGAGGCTGGGCCCTTAATGACATTATTGAGCTGCCAAATCAACCAATCTCAGTCTGCCTGCCACTGGCTCTTGTTACGTGAGATATTTCTTTGAACTGCGCTCAGCATGGCCAGGTTCAGTGAACCTGAGGAGGGATGGTGAAGGATTAAAGAAGACAGACAAGAGAATACAGCTGGGGCTAGGTGGATCTCTTGTGCCTGGATGAGGACACAGAGAGACCCAGCCTGCAAGCCAAAGCTTTATTTTATAGTCAGAGCACACAAAGCAAAACAAGGGAAGTGGTCAACATGTTTACCTTGTTCTTGTGAGTTTCACCTTGTTTTGGCAGTACTTGCTGCACCTCCCACAAACCACTAACTATCCAGAAAGGAACTAGGGAGGACTATAAGGTCAAGCTTAATTATGCTAGGCGGGCTCTGCCCTCCAAGCCGGGCCTTGTTTGTGGCCCTGCCACAGGTCAGTCTGAGGCTTGACCACATAGCTGCTCCCTACATTCTTTACTTCCTTTTTTCTTTTTTAAAAATGGGGTTATATGCTACTTGTAAAAGAAAGCATCACAGCAGAAAGATACTGATAGATTCAGTATCTTAAACTATCCCATCACACCTGAACTCCAGACCTGTGGATCCAACTGCCTGCCAGCCATTCCTCTTGATTGTTCTCACACTCAAAAAGCCCAAAACTGACTTTGTTGTCTTGGGCCCCTCTCCCATTACTCTAATCTTTCCTGTTTCTGTGAAAGGTTCACCATCTGCCTGTTTGTTCGAGCCAAAACCTTAGGTCACCTTTGCTATTTCCTTTTCCCTCACCTGCCAATCTCTCCCTGGGTACTGCAGATTCTACTCCTTGAATATTTCTCAAATCCATCCACTTCTTTGCCCAACAACATCTTTTGCATGTTGCACTGCAACAGCCTCTGAACTGGTCCTCCATCTCCTTTCAATTGTTTTTGCACACTACAGCTAGACATTTTTTCTAAAATGCAGATCTAAATACTTTATCCTCCTGGTTAAATCCTTTTCTTCCCTTTCCTTTAGGACAGTGGTGGGCAAACCACGGCTCGCAAGCCACATGCGGCTCTTTGGCCCCTTGAGTGTGGCTCTTCCACAAAATACCGGCTCTTCCACAAAATACCGACCTCTGAGCATGGGCCACGAAGTTTCAATCGCACTGTACGTGCGCGCCCGCAAGTGGTATTTTGTGGAAGAGCCACACTCAAGGGGCCAAAGAGCCTCATGTGGCTTGTGAGCCGTGCTTTGCCGACCATGTCTTTAGGATACATTCTGAATGCCTTAATGGGGCATATAAGATCCTCCATGACTGGTTCTCATTTCTCCAACCTCAACACCATTCCTCCCTTTCTATCCTGCACTCCAGCATTACAGAAATGTTTTTAATTTCCAAACTTGCTCCCTTACCTCTTGGCTGACATTTACCTAGAAAGTCCTCCTCCTCTCCCTGCTTCCCCTGAATAACTCCTGTTTGTTCCTCAGTGCTCAGTGCGATGGCACCTCCTTTGAGAAGAAGCCTTACTTCGAGGCTGTGTTAGGTGCTCCTCTTCATGTTCCTACAATCCATCTCCTTCCCCCAGTCACAGCACTCACCACCAGGTTGGAATTGTCTTTTTAGTTGTCTATCTACCCCGCCCCCCAGACTGTGAGCTTCTTGAGAGGGGACTCTAGCTTATTTCCTTCACCTAGCACTGTAACTGAGTGAAGGTCATTTAAAACCCAGAAAAAGATTTTAAATATTTTTAAAATTTATTGATTGATTTTGAGAGAGAGAGAGAGAGAGAGAGAGAGAAACACCAATTTGTTTTGTTTTTATTACCTCTTACCTTAGGATATTTCTCCATTGATTTTTAGAGAGAGTGGAAGGGAGGGGGAGAGAGAGAAACATCGATGTGAGAGAAACACATTGATTGGTTGCCTCCCACATGTGCCCCAACCAGGGCTGGGGATCAAGCCTGCACACCCTTGACCTGAATAGAACCCTGGGTACACACCCTTGACCTGAATAGAACCCTGGGACTCTTCAGTCTGTGGGCCGATGCTCTATCCACCTAGAGAAACCGGCTAGGGTGAGAAACATTGATTTGTTTTTCCACTTATTTATGCATTCATTGGTTGATTCTAATCAATTGAGCTACCCAGCCAGGGCAGTCCAGAAGTAGATTTTGACTTGAAGGCAAGGGTAAGGTGGAATGGAGTTGGAGGACAGAGTGGAAACGGACATTTCTTTTCTTTTTTTTTTTTTTAACATTTTTATTGATTTCAGAGAGGAAGGGATGAGATAGAAACATCAATGATGAGAGAGAATCATTGATCGCTGCCTCCTGCATGCCCCCTACTGGGGATCAAGCCTACAACTCGAGCATGTGCCCTTGACTGGAATCGAACCTGGGTCCCTTCAGTTGACAGGCCAATGCTCTATCCACTGAGCCAAACCAACTAGGGTGACATTTTCTTTTCTTGCAATTTTTTTTTAAATTTCTTGATTTGAGAGAGAGGGAGGGGGGAGAGAGAGGGGGGGAGAGAGAGAGAGAGAAATATTGATTTGTTATTTCACTTATATATGCGTTCATTGGTTGATTCTAGTATGTGCCCTGACTAGAGATCAAACCACATTGAACCCACAACCTTGGCATATTGGGATGATGCTAACTAACTGAGCTACCTGGCCAGGGCAAAAGTGGACATTTTCAAGTAGGGGGAGGGGTAGTGGTGGCAGAATTTGATTTGCTGGCTAAGTGTTGATTAGGTTTAAATGGATGGCAGGGACAGGCTAGGGGAGAGACTACTGAGGCAGATAGTGTAACCCAGGCCAGAGATGATGGTGGCCTGGACTAGGGTGGTGGCAGGAGGGATGGGGAGAACCAGACAGGCTTGAATGAATTAAGAAAAAAATTAACGCCCTGACTGGTTTGGCTCAGTGGATAGAGTGTCGGCCTGCGGACTAAAAGGTCCCAGGTTCAGTTCCGGTCAAGTGCATGTACCTTGCTTCCGGGCACATCCCCAGTGGGGGGTGTGCAGGAGGCAGCTGAATCGATGTTTCTTTCTCATCGATGTTTCTAACTCTCTATCCCTCTCCCTTCCTCTCTGTAAAAAATCAATAAAAATGTATTTTTTTAAAAAAAGAAAAAAATTAACAGAATTGCCTGGGGTGGGGAGGTGAAGAAAAGAAAAGGGTGTGAGATGAATTGAATTCTAATTTGGGCAACAGAGGTTCTAGTGGTGCCTTCTTCTAAGGTGGGGAATCCAGAAGGAAGAACATGATTACAGATGGTAGAGGAGAAGAGCTCAGTTTGGGACATGTTGAATTTGTGGGCCTATGGGACACCCAGAGGCAACTGGGCATTCAGGGCTGCAGAGGGGGAACACAAGTTGAGAAGGACAGAGAGGTAGGAGAAAAGCCAGAAAGGTAGATAGGAGTCATTGAAGCCTCCTAGTGGGATGCACAGATAGTGGGATGCAGAAAAGAAATGACTAGAGACAAGGAGACAATACTGCTGAGCCTCCTCCTCACAGGTACCACCACTTCCACAGACACAAATGCACTACAGAGGTTTCTTTGACAGCAGTTTTATTTGATTCGTAGTTAAACTCAGACCCTGGCCCACCCCACGGATCATGGGATCATGGCAGAAGTAGACTCGGGAACCATCGGCCTCTTACCGAGATCAGAAAAGGGGAATATATGGGTCATATCTATATTCAGGGCGGGGAGAGGCTCAGCTACAGCTGGCTGGGTAGGGTTTGGCTAGAGGCCAGGGAAGGAGCGACTGGTATCATCCCCTAGATGCATGCAGATGGAGAGGAGACTAATTCAGGACTGGTGTTCGGGTACGGGCTTTGAGTAGGCCCAGGGCAGGTCAGGGAGTTCTGGACCAAGGGTTTCAATAGCTGTGAGTAGAGGACTTGTCCAGCTCACTGCGCTGCTCCTTATGGGACTCTGTCACCACCTGCTGGGGGCAAGGCATGTGAAGGGCACAAACATTCAGGACCGCCCTCCTCCCAGCTCCTTTGGGACCTGGTATCTCCGCTCTGGCATAAAAAGCGGAGGCTCCGATCTATCCATCTACCGTCTCTGTCTCCCTCCCACCCCAAGAACCACTCACCCACAATATCCTAAGATCAGCGGCAGCCAAGCTGGGGCTCAGAAATAATATGGAAAACGATGGGGTCCTGGGTCCAAGTGTCCCATCTCACCTCCCCATTCCGGGTCTCAATGGTCTTAATCAGAACCATCTTCCGGCTGTGGCTGTCCTGCGGAGGCTCCACCTCGGGCACTGGAAAAAGCAGGTGAGGGTGGAAGAGAGGAGGCCTGGCGATGACCTCCTTTTAAGCGCTCATACCGACGACGGGGAGGGGAGGGGCGGGGCAGGACTTAGAAGGGCGAGAGTAGACCAGGATTCAATAGAGAGAAATAATCCCTGAGCAGAGCCTTAGCAAGAGTCCGGGCAGGGCAGGAGAGGACAAGGGGACAGACAGGTTGGGGGCCAGGTGTGGGAGACTCACCAGTCGTCCTTATATTTAAGGATGCAAAGGAATGGACTGGCACGGAGATCCTGGGGGCGAAGCAAGTGGTTAGCTCCTCTGCCCGGACCCGAACACATCCCTTCCAGGACCACACCCTGCCCGCCTCCGGCAGCCCCGCCCCCACCGGCTCTCCTCGCCCTCCAGCAGCTTCCGGTAGGTGGCGATCTCGATGTCTAAGGCCATCTTGACGTTGAGGAGCTCCTGGTACTCGCGCAGGTGCCGCGCCATCTCCTCCTTTAGCTGCCTCAGCTCCTCCTCGAGGCGCGCATTGCCCGCCTGGTACCCGCCGGCCTCCAGCGCGAACTGCTCCTCCAGCTCCCGCAGCTGTCTGAGCAGCGCCTCGTTCTGGGGTGGGGACGGGAGCACGGGTCAGAGAGGGGACAGCCTTCACCGTACCCCCTCCCCCCCTGCCGGCAGGCAGCCTGGTACTCACCGTGCCTCGCAGTCCGTCCACCTCGCACGTCAGGCTCTGGATCTGGCGTCGCGACTCATTCATCTCCTGCTTGGCCTGGCGCAGGGCCTCATGGTTTCGGTTGGCGGCGTCCGACAGGTCCGCGTACTGCAGGGTGGAGGGCACCCCAGGTGTGGGCTGACGGGATGCGCCGTCGCCCAGGCGCCCTACCCTCTGGGGTCCTCCCCAGCCCCCTGGGCTCTCCCACCTTGGACTTGTACCACTCCTCTGCCTCCTGCATGTTCTTGGCCGCGATGCTCTCGTACTGCGCGCGGATGTCCCTTAGCGCTGCTGTGAGCTCGGGCTTCACGGTCGCCTCCACTTCGACCTGCTGCACCTGCTGGTTCTCCATGTTCACCTGCATGTCTCGCAACTCCTGCCGCCCAGGACACCAGGACGTCGAGTTCGCCGCGCAGATCCCATGCGGGCCGCGTAGATCGCGCACAGAAAAGAGCACATACACTTGAGTGACCAAAAGGGGGCGCCAAGGAGTGCAGCGCGCATGGGACTGCGCAGCCTGCGCCTGGCCCGCACTGAGCCCGCGGCTAGGTTGTCGGGTGCAGCTCCGCTGATCGCCACCAGGTGGCGCATGGGCGGGAGACAAACCACCTGTAGGCGAGGTGGAGGGGCTGTGTCTCTCCACAGATTCTCACTTCGCTTCCCCAGAGCTATTCCTCCGCTGGATCTGCCCGTCTCCTCCAGAGCTTGCCTCCTAGCTCCAAAGAGACCCAACCTCCCAACCTCCCAACCTCCCTGATATCCGGTTCACCCACCTCCTCATGCAGCTTCTTGAGGAACTCAATCTCATCCATCAGAGATTCAATCTTGCGCTCTAGCTCCAGGCGGGCCAGGGTTGCGTCGTCCACGTCCTTCATGGGGTAGCAGTAGGGGTTCAAGAGCAGGGAGGGGCTGCTCAGCACGGGGAAGAGCCTCTGAAGGCTTCTGATGGCCTCCCCGCACCCACAGATGCTACCCTGGACACACAGGCCCGGGGTAGAGGTAGGGGGACGGACACCCACGCGGGGCCCGGGCTCACCTTGCGGAAGAGCACGAGGTTGTGCTCGGCGTCCTCCCGCTTGTGTGTTTCGTCCTCCAGCCTGGTGGAGAGAGTGGGCAGAGGCTGAGCTGCAGGGTCACCGTCCTCCCGCCCACCCCCCACCCCAGGATCTGGGGTCCTGCCCAGGACTCCCAGGAGGGGTCTTCAGGCTGCCTGATGGGCGCGCCCCATTTTCTGTCTAGTGGGCTGGGAGCTGAGCGGAGGCCGCTTTATACACGAAGAGACATGGCCACTTTGCCTCCCCAGAGACTCAGCAAAGTGGTAGAGGGCGGGCAAGGATGCTGCCAGCACACGCCCTCCCGGGTTGAGCCTGGAAGCAACTCCCTGGAGTGGCTGGGGGAGAGGGAAGGGAAGGGTGGAGCAGCCTCCTCCAGGTCGCCGCCGGGCCCTGCCCCCTGACCTCTGCTTGAGCGCCGCCAGGTCCTCCGCCAGCCC